AATCTCCAATTAGTAGTTATAGAATCAAATAGTTAGCCATGTTTCCCTAATGTATTTTTTTCCAATCCACTTTCATTTAAAGACAATGATAGTGATGTAGGTGCGAACTCATAAACATGTTCACATTTCTTGCACTTTTTGCTTTGGCAAGCGTTTAATATGCATTTGTAACACATGGTTGCATTCTTTTAAGTAATAACTCTAATCCATAACCGTAAAATTGTCGGCTTTTTGATCCCTTTCTCTGCAGTTTAGCAAAGGAACGGTGGAAACGTGAAATGGGCGAATTAATTTCTCCACTCATTGGTAGACCAACAATGCACAAGCCCCTGGGCGACGTAAGATATTGATCTAAATAGGTCTTTGAATGAACCGAGATACTCGCAAAAATTATATCGACAAACTCATGGTGACGGGGATATTATGACGGCTTGCTATTTATTCCCTTTATTCTCTTCATTCTCTTAAGTGCTACGTCTGGGGTGGCACTATCAAAAGTTTTTCTCGAGCATGATAATGTTGATGATATTGATGATGATTGGTTTACAAGAATGTTGTACAGTGCATCGGGATGCAAATTCGATTATTGTTTCTATGTTGTGTTATTGTTTTTAATGATGTAAGTATGGACGAGAACAGAGACTATATAGCCATTGTTCTAACTATTATTAGCCATTCATTATTGGGTAATATCCTGTTTACAAATTTTCTGATACTCACTTCCTCTTTACGGTTTCCTTTCCCTTCCTTCCCTTTATTTTTAATCCTTTCACTAACTTTAGAGATCTCTACCCATAAGTCCTTTGCCGTCACTTCCATCCCGGGATCAACCAAACGGAAATTTAGAGTTTCCTTTTTCTAAGATTAATTTAAATATTTCCTTCCACCCGATAAAATTACAAATATCTTTTTTTAATAACAAGTCCATTGTTTCAATTCTTTCTCTTTCCTGATCATTACTGAAAGTTGATTCGTATCAAAGCGCTTTCAAAATGACATCCGTGCAATAGATGTAGATTATTCAGATGCATTGATGCTTTCTTGCAAGATGAGTTGTTGAATGCACCTGAAATATGAATTATTTCTATGAACGGAATCCATTTTTACATGCAATGCTTATTGGTTTGTTTTGCGAGCCACTGGACAGTCTATAACTATCAAGAGCAAATGTTGTCTAAGAGGACTGTATGACTGAAATAGAGAATTGGGGAAACTGGGAAATAAGATGTATATTATAGTAAATATGGCGAGTGACTAAGTCAGCGGGAATAGCGTTGTGATTTTTGTCATTATCACCCCCCCCCCCCTCCGGTGAATTTGATTACAAAGTGGTTCATAAAGTATTTCTATCACATTGTGTGAAGCATAAAGTAAATGAGTGAATACATAACACGTGATTTGTGTGTCATCTGTTCACTGTACTTGTTATCGACCTTATTGCCTTCTCTCATTTTGTAACCTGCCTAATCTCTCTCCTCTAATCGTTTTTATTCTCCCCTTTTATCGGGTAATGGTTAGGTGGGTTGCAAAGAGTACCTGAATGCAAAACAAAAGTGGTAACACTATAACTAATTGCTGCTCTTAACATGAAGTGGACAGACTTAACAAAGTTATCAAGTTATACACGGCGCCACGTCTGTGAAAACGTGTGTATCTAATATTGTGGTGGTGGAATGTACCGGGTCATGTAACTACATCAATGCATTCCGATCTGAGAAATGTTAAAACAGCCCCGAATTGAGGAGAACGATTAACCCTTTCTGAGGTAGAACTCTCCCATCTTGACATGGGTTTCTGAAACATGATGATTAATGTGACTGCTCTTATTAGGATGTACATAATTGAATAAACATTTCGCTTCCAGGGTGATTATGACCCCCAACCAGCAAACGGGATGAAATATGTGATTGACGACAGCGATTCAATTCCAACTAAACAAAAATAGATCTAAATCAGCACAGTTGAAGGCGGGAGAAATTTCAAAAGGTGGTTTCCCGAATAGACATCACAAGAAGAAGAGCTTATGCGGTTCTGAGAAAGGCATAACAAACAATGAAAAAGGAGTTGTTATTTAACTCCATCGGTCGCTTGCCAAAGGTTTCGGGTTTGCACTTGACGCTAAGAATTGAATGGATCTTCAAAAACAATTACGAATCGTTTGTTATCATGCAACATCGAACCAATTGAGAACGATTATGGTTTGTTATCGTATGTGCGAACCAATTTATCACTGCTCAAAGTCTCTCATAATTCAAACCCGAAATCACCTGGGAAGATGCCAAACTTTCAAAAATGTTGCTCGGTTAAGAAATCGAGATGTTTCTGGTAATTGTTTTTTCGCCGCCTTTGCGTAACCTTCCACCGGCTGGGTCGGTGGTGGATCACAGCTGATCCTACCTCCAGCACTTCTTTTGAATGTTAATGATTGAATTATAATAATAATTATGGTTTGTTATCGTATGTGCGAACCAATTTATCACTGCTCAAAGTCTCTCATAATTTAAACCCGAAATCACCTGGGAAGATGCCAAACTTTCAAAAATGTTGCTTGGTTAAGAAATCGAGATGTTTCTGGTAATTGTTTTTTCGCCGCCTTTGCGTAACCTTCCACCGGTTGGGTCGGTGGTGGATCACAGCTGATCCTACCTCCAGCACTTCTTTTGAATGTTAATGATTGAATTATAATAATAATTTGCTTTTAAAATCCACGGCTGTTTTATTTTCAAGTAGAAACACATCGATATCCTTTATAAATTGCAATTGAGTCGCTTATTTAACGTTTTTCCTTACCCAGTACACCTCACTTATGTGAGTGATTAAAACAAGTATACTCTTTAATAAATTGTATTTTGCATGCTAGTTTCTACGATTTGAGATTTTTCATTCAACACTTAGACATAAAGAATACTTTAATCAGCTCCCAACATGCTCAATTTCCAACATTTTTCTTTTATTCCAGCTGGGAAATTGCAAAGTTCTTCGTTGTTTGATATCATTTTTTATATTTAACAATCTCCTTGTACATGTAGGTTGGATGGAATCCCCCAAATCATACCATTTTGATAACTTTTAAGAGAATACTCTTCATTTTCAGCAGGAAGAAATGTAAGGAAAATTTGCTAATCCATCTAGCAATATAGGACAAAGGCATTTCCCCCCGTATACTATAAACCGTTTTATGTGATACGGTCATCGGAGTCGAAACTTCTTTTTCCGGTATACACCTGTGACATTATAGATTAATCTAAATCTTCTCAGTAGGGATTAAAGTATCGGATTCGATGTGAAATGCAATCCTGTATTTTCTCTTCAACATTTAAGGAATAGACGAACTTACGATTTAGGGTGACTGATTGATATGATTGATGAGAGTTCTTTCGTCTGTATTTTTTGCTCTATGCTTATATGCTCATTTAAAGAATTCCCAGCCGATACAATGCACCCAACCTGAACAAGTATTGAAAACTCTCTCACTATAGCACAATGCTTATACAAACGGCCTTATTTCTTACAATGGCGTAGCGTGGGCGTAGCCAGTGAGGGGCACTAATTTCATTAGAGAGCACCGGAAATATTAGGTAGATGAAATGCAAGAGACCAAGAATGAGGGAGTGGGTGTGGGTGGGTGTGGGTCATCTCTTCTTCCTTTCACGATGCCTTTACTTTTCCTATTCCTTTTCACTTGCTCGCTTTTTTTTTGTTCTCTCTCTCTCTCTATCTCTCTTCTTCTTCTTCTTCTTCTTCTTCTTCTTCTTCTTCTTCTTCTTCTTCTTCTTCTTCTTCTTCTTCTGCTTCTGCTTCTTCTTGTGTGTACGCCATTTGATAGGGTTGGGGGTTAGGGGGAGGCGTCCCCATCGGTTTTTCCCGGTGGTATGCCACTGATTTATTGCAATTATTTCCTATCCACAATCATGGCAGTGACTAGGGAAATAAATCGGAGCAGCTGTTGCATACCTATCTGCTAATATAATTGTCTTTGTTTTAAGTGGTATCTAGAGTGGGCGTTTGCATAGAATGATATACAGTGGTCATGTCTGACATTGGTATACTCAGTGGAAATGGATACACCTCGTCAGCATGCTTTCAGAAGTCGCTCTTAGTATTAGTTCTTGAATAATTATTTGAAGAAAAAAAAAATTAATGACACGTTGCTTCTATAAAGATCTAAAGAAGATATGAAGTTATTTAATATTTGATTTAAAGAATGCTATACACTATGACGTCGCTTTAATCAAATGAATTAACTTAATGCATTAAAAAGGAATTGTATGTTTTTTTTCTTGAAATACAATGATTCAGTAACTCCGTTGCTGTGAATTAACTCTAATGCATTGAAACAATGTTTTGAAACAAAATTGTATGGTATTTCTTGAAAGACAATCATTCAGTGTCTACGTTGGTGTGAATTATCTTTATGCATTAAAAAGGAATTGTATGGTATTTCGTGGAAGATAATGATTCAATAGATACGTTTTTGTGAGATCTGACTGGAAGGGGAGGGGTTGAGACATAGTTAAGTGCAAGCTGAGACAGAAACAGAATAAGTAATAAGATTAGTGTAGGCAAAGAACAAGGGACAGAGAACGCAAATTAACACAAACAATTTGCCGGGAGCATTAGGTATGTTTTTTGTTTTTAATCTATAATTTATGTTGACATTTACGCAACAACAGACATTTTTGAGAAATCTTCTTGTAGGTAACTTAATGTATTACTTGGACAAACTAAGTTCTAATTATGTAATTGTAAAGTTCGCACATTAAGCCTATAGGCGAGGCTATGTCCGAGATTTTGTTCACTGCCCCGCAGGTTGATTTCATGAAGTGTTTGTGATTGTAGTTTTTTCATTAGAGTATGAAGAATAAACATAAGAAACGAGCAGAGTTTCACAAAACCGTCACACAAGTACAAGTTTGAGGACACCCCATTGAAACCAGTGCTTATGACGGTTTCGTGAAACGGTGCCCTGATGGGTTAAAAAAAGAGATGAAATAACATACCTTGGGTGTCGAGAAATCTCTTGCCCCATCTCATGAACTTATGTGGTTTACCACCAGGGGATCTGATCTCCTGAGCTGAGGCACTGCCGGACCCACATTGAAGGAGCAAACAGGTGAGAAGAAGGACCAGGAACATGGTGGTGGTAGAAGACAGGTGTAATGGATGGATCCTCCATGAGCAACCTGCTCCAGATCGATGCTGTCTGTGACCACTAAGTGATGGGTACATTGTCGGGATGGAAGTCGACTTGATGGACGAAGGATGACCAGCAGGCGGGCGATCAGTAGTCAATGGCGACTACAAGTTTGATTTGCAAATGAAGAGAAGGTTTGGAAACTAAAATCGATTTGTTTTACTCTCGGCGGACTGATGTTTGTTTATAATGTTTCTTTCTAAAATGTATGCGTGCATCAGGTTGATCCCGTGTTCTCGTCGAATCTACAATCCGCATAAAACAATATAAGTGGTAATGATGCAGAGAGTGAGGAATAGGAAACTTCTGGCTGGGACCCCCGTATTCAATTTCAAAGAACCAAACCAACTGTTGAGTGCTGTCCGCATTAGCATTTACTGATATTGAACGGTCTCTCTTTGCTTCCAGCTCGTTTCTGCACGCTGAGTTTCCGCGGCACGTTATGCTCTTCTTATTGGTCTCCCCCGTGGTGTGCGTTTTGACGTATTTCGTTTCTGAAGGGCCCTCGAAAACAGAGAAATCAATGAACTTAGAAGCCAAAATGTCTACTTGAGGCTTGCTAGCTCCCTATCCCGGTAGATTTGAACTGTAACCCCCCGTCTTTCGTTTTTTGCGAATGTCGTCTTACTTTCTTACAGTTCGCTTCTTTTTTGACTGCGACCCGTGATGTTGGTTGTTGATGTGTGCTTTGCTGAGACACGGATCTTCCCAAAGCTTCACGTCTTTATACTCCACTCTGAGCAACAGTTTGTGCTTTGTCTCTTCATACTCGCTTCTGATTGGTCGAGAGACAGTTTAACTGATTCCAACGTTGTAATATAGTGACGTTGGTAATTGGACAGCTCTCTTGATTACGCACTTCGTCCTTTTAATAAAGGTCAAAAATTCCAATTAACATATCTCTTTTCGGAAGTAATTTAGGCAAATCTGTATCTATATTCTCAGGGTAAAGCTATATAAACCAGGTAAAAAGACTTCCGCTTCTAATTCAAGATTAGTTATTAATAGATACCAAGTAGATTATACGATTCTTCAAGGTTGAGGTTTGCATGGTGGTGTGTATAACATTGATTTGGTTTGATGTTATGTAATGAGGGTAGTCCTGAAAAGGACTGTTTGGGTTTGTAAGAGGAAAGGAAGTAAAAAAAAAAAAAAAAAAAAAAAAAAAAAAAAAGAAAGAGTGAGGGTGATGTTTTTGCAGGTTTCGTCCTATGGAGTAACCAATGAGGTTGTTGGTAAATAAGTACAGAAAATTAGGAGGAAGAAGTACTCATTCGTGTATGGAGTCCTGAAAAGGTCTGGTGAACGAGGCGATAAATGCGGGGGTGGGGGTAGGAAGGGGTGTGAACGAGAGTCGACGTTTCGAACAGATTAAAGGTTCGAATTTTTTATTTAACCACATTATACGCTTGGTGCAGATTTACCAAGGGATTTAAAGTAGCAATTTTGTAATTAAACCTTGTTAAAGATAGCGAGATATAATAAATAACCTAACTAATCTTTACTCTACGTTTGAGAGCTTACTTTTTATACCTTGTTAGTGCATTCCACGATGGTGGGTCAGTGATACTGTATGCCTAGAGTAACCATAAAAACATTACAAACGTAATTATGAGTAATCATAAAATATACATTCATTAACAATCAGATTAATTGCTTCAAGATATTTTTTAGCCATTACTTAAAATCACTTTCACAACTTAACGATGAGTAATAGACTAGACATCATACAACGTTATGGATCTTAGAGAGTTTAAATCCTACTAAACTTAGTGTTTGCGATAATAAATGTTGCCACCCTTTGTTGTCACAAAGTATATTTTTACATTTGTTTCATATGCTAATGAACACTCTTAATTATCATAGTTTAGCCATATTAAATTTGATGAAACGAAGTACTCCATTTCAACTCTTACCTCTTACAATATCTGGTCAAATGATGGAAAACCCTGATGAAAGGAGAAAAGAAACGACACACTATTTTTTTAAGTGAGGAAGAGCTGATTTTCGTAATGATATTTGAAGTATTTGGGGTGAAGTTTTATGGGGTGCCGCCTCTTTAAATCTTAGACTTCTTTGGAAATGTAAGGATTCGGAAAACATTTCGCCGTAATGCTGAACTAATACCTTCTGAATTCAGGTTATGAGAAATAATGAACACAATTTTTTAATTACAATCGAAGCTACAAAAAGTTTGCGTGTGATTTGATCACTGTTGATGTATCGTTATATAGTAAAAATGCAAGGAAAATAATATTCCATTTTTTTTTCTTCATTTCATCGGATTGGATGCTCCGCCACTTTCATTGCTTCGATGATCAATTATCCATGAAACACTCTACTCGCACATTTCTATTTTAATCTCCCAATATACCTTGGTCCATACTTTGGTTTAATGAACGGATTTCTAAAAATGACACCGTTAAAATGCGAATGCGTGAATAACCAGAGATAACGAGAATAACCATCGATATTAACAAGAGTTTATAAATAACATCTCAATAACACCCATTTCATCTATAGTATTCCATATCAAAATATTCTCTTGCAGCGATTGGACAGGGATTGCTCAAGTGATGTATAATAGTTCTACCATAAGAACAAAATGTACAAGTTGTGACGTAATTCATTGTATATCCTGAATATACCGTGAGTTTTTTTTCTCCAAAAAAAAGTAGTCAAATCAAAATGTAGTAAATACTTATTCCATCAATTAAATTCAATCATTTACAAGTCAAAGTAAATACGTACATTTTCTTTTTCAACCAAATTAATATTAAAGAAGAATAAAAATTCTTATTCTTTTGAATTAAACAATACTTTGTAAATAAACAAGCAATACTCTTTAAATATAGTATAGCATTATCCCGAAGATAGAAAATTACCCAAAAATGAACACGAGGCAAAGCACAGACACGCACACACACATACGCGCGCACACACACACACACACACCAACAAACACAAAATGACATTCCCTCTTTTTCCACCCCACATGCATACACAATTATAGTCCAATAAACACACAACACTATCATACTCCCCATTCCCATTACACTCACAGCCGACACCCCCCCCCCCCCCTATCTTCTCAACACAGTCTCAATGTATGAGGGAAGAAAACAGTAATAATAATGATAATCACAATCATAGTAATAATCATTATTATAATAAAAATAATCATATTAATGATGATGCAATGTAGTTTAATTTAGTTTGATTTACCAATAATTCCAATGCCAATATAAATATCATTCCAATTTGATTTCTATGATATTGGAAACTTTAAAAACTTTTCTGAAAGTTTTCCAATTTTCTCACATTCATATTTGATATTATTCATATTCAACATCTTATACTAAAATTTACGTAGTCTGTTATCCAAAGTATATTTCCTTAATCTGAGAAACTTTTTTTTTATATACTCAAAGTTTAAAGCTGCATTAAATTGTTAGGCGCAGAAGATATATATATTCTACCATTTTGTAACGCTGTGAAGTTATATCATGAAAACCATAAAAGATTTAAGGTATCAATATCGCAATATGTTCCTATATCGCAGAACTGTTGTTCTTTCTTCCCTTTTTTTCTCAATTATTAACTCTTCTCTCTAGATTCAACAAAACAGGAATTGCAAATTTTACTTGAATGAAAAATATTTCAGACTTGATTTAAATATTAATATTTTTTCGAATATTGTATTATGATTTATGCGATTATGGCAATGTATAAGCTGTGAAAAATAATTTGTGATTTTTTAATGTGAAATTTCATTTGTTGTTTTATAGGAATTATGAGATTATTTTCAACTTTATTAATAGAAAGAAAGTATAAAAACCAAAATAAAACAACGACAACAACAAGAAAGAATCAGTCAAGTCACTGTGGAACCGTGCTCCGCTCCGCAAGCGTTGGTGTTGGTGTGTGTGTAGTTAAAACATCGAAAATAACTAATTCACTATTAAACGCTTTTCGTTTTTTTTTTCAATTTTGTTTTGATTAAAGACATAAAGCATAAGTTTATTTTGCTTTTCTCATTTGGTACCGTCGATTCTTTCAGGTTACTAGCATTGTTATAACTTTCCTCGGGGATGCTTCCCTCGCTTCTTTAGAGAATAGTGCTACATTATGCCAGTTACCATGGTTTATTTTTTAGTGCATGGTATAATAGCAACAGTCACCATTATACTTTAATAGTATCCTATAACCCGGTTACCCTTTTGCATATTTAAATTTAATGATTAGATTTTGGGTCGATCATCCAAAGGTTAAAGCAGTGAATATTTGAAATAGGTTGAACTAATTGTTTTTTCAATAGTAATCAGTGGTAAATTAGTGTCAATGTTTAAAGTAATATGAATATTAGGTTTCATACATCGAAATATCCAACTGGAAACTGGGTTATATGACGTTAATCTGAAACCATAGACTAATTCCTCATGTTCTGCTGGCACGATATTTACCCAAATAAGTCATTTTTAGGTAGAATTAAAGTGATTCATGCTGTTGATATGAAAGGCCTTTAGGAAGAATCATTATTTTTACCTTTTGACTATGACACGCATTATAATGACCTTTGGAATAACTATATTACTAAGTCATTACGAAGCCATCGATAGTGCTCAATTGCCATGATTTATCATGTAATTTGTTTTTGTACGATGTCAGATGACATCAAAAGCGAAAAGCTACTTAGGGATATTGTTTAGTTTGCCGCTAGAGGGAGCTGTAAACTTGTTTGTTTTTGTTGTTTTTGTTTTTACTTATGTTTTTATCGATAACCAAAAACAGAAACATAAAACACAAAAATAACAAACAAATATAAACATATCTACAATGGATAAAGTCAAATATCATGTATCATAATATATAGGGTCTCTTAATAAGTCTATTCACATAGAGGGAAAACAGAGGTCATTATTCAAAGGAATTCAATTATGATTTAAAATCATAAGAGACCAAATTGTTAAATGTAAGCATAACTTTACATTCGTACAGTTGCTTGTATTAAAATAAAATTATATTGACAATCTTGCATTAAATTTGTTTAAATCATATATCAAGGATAAAACGAAATATCATAATGTGGTGCTTTTTTGCATCTAATCTAAATGTCATTCCCATTTCAAACAATTGAGGGCGTACGCTTTGTTTCTATGTTTTTACAGCGTGGTAGGATTCTCTCTATAAAAAAATGCCCCTATTTTGTTTAAATGCTTAATCAATGATTCAGTGAAAAGTAGAAAACGTGATAGAAAACATACTAAATACAATGACCGTATGGATTCCATGGTAATCCCTGATTATCAAGTATGCATGCCAAAACCCTATAAGCTATAAATATATATCTGTAGACCCTGAGATTTAAATAAATTGTTATTGTCGACTTGTGTTTCCAGACGATAGTTATGTACACACCTTGTATTGTTTAAAAAGGACAGTGTACTCATTTTGAGTTGTGTGTGAGGTAAAATGTACACTTTTGAGTTATATATGATAATTAAACGTGCGCATTTTGATTTGGAGATAGCGTAAACATTATAGGCCCGTAGTCTTTATGTTAAAGTTTAAGCCCAATACTGGATCTTACCCCGTTTAGATCTATATGTTACTCGGTGTCACACCAACGACTGGTAAACGCGTGATGACATTCCTTTTCAAACACCAGGCAACGAGCGCGGGGGCCGTTTAAATAACAATAATGAGGTCAAT